GATACTTAACAAAGTAGTGTTTTTTCACATAAATTTTTTCAACTGACATATAAGACCTTAACTGTTCAAATAAGAAATAACTACCAGACAAAGTTTGGCACATCATGAAGGTTCTTTGGCAGTACAGTGTATAGAGAAGTCTAGTTGAAAAGTTCAATAAAGTATCTAGGATGCAGTAAGCTAATTTTAACTCACAATTTTTGGTTTTTGTTTCAGCAGAATCTTCAGGCAGACAAAATTTTTGTCAAAATAGAAATGTACTTGAAAAGATTTTAGCTTTTGGAAGAGATTTACAAACTATGAGTGTACAATTGAGGAGAGAACATGGAAAAAATGAGACAAATAAGAAGACTCTTCAGGTCAGTCAATTCTGTAATTTTGTTTTTCCCATTTCATCCTTGTACAAGTTTGTTTATTCTAAATGTGATTTTTTTGTGTGTCATTTCTAATATGACATTTTTGTTAATGACTGTTTTTTTTTTTCAGGAAGCATTTAGTCTTTTGGCTTACACAGATCCCTGGAGCAGTCCTGTGGGGTATATTTTAGATCCTGTACAGAGGGAATCAATTTGTTCATCTTTAAATAGTGCTATCTTAGGTAATTTTTGATGATTTTTTTCTATATTTAGTACTAGAAGTTACATGCACATGTATAGTTACTGTTCAAGGCAATGGTAGATGTTTGGTCAGCCTGATCAGAACATAATTATTAAGCTTTTACAACATAGAAAGAAGTGCTAAGGAGTGTAAAGTTAAGAGATCTTAAAAAATCAAAACACTGAAATAGCTCTCCGCTTCTTATGGTGACCTCTATTCTGGTTTTGGAAATTTCAGTTGCCATTGACCACAAACTGTGTGATAATTGTTTTTTCAACTTAAAGTGCACCTAAACCCAAAAATTTTTTTTCACTTAACAAAATAAGCGTGCTTTTTGGAGTGGAACATTGGCTGCCATCTTGGTCCACAACGGAGTTTAAAGAGGAATGGTTCTAGCGGGTAATGTGACGTCAAATAATTTTTATTGAGAATGCGAAAGTTTACATTTCGCACATTTTCACTTGTTTGGGAAAGTTGTAGTCGATATTGTCCGAAAATGTGCCAATTAAGTGTGTTGTAGGAGGATGTAGCAACATGTGAAATTTGCAAGAGGATATCGTACTTCATACATTCCTCATACAACACACCTAGTCAGCATATTTCGAACAATATCGACAACAACCATCCCAAACAAGTGAAAATGTGTGAAATGCAGACTTTTGTGTTCTCCATTTTACGTCACATTACCCGCTAGAACCATTCCTCTTTAAACTCGGTCATTAGTCAAGATGGCGGCCAATTTTCCATATTTTGACGAGGCACAGGAAATTGAAGATTTGAGCAAATGAAAAAATTTTTGCTCAGAAATACTCCAAAAAGTACGCTTATTTCGTTAAGCGAAAAAAATTTTGGGGTTTAGGTACACTTTAAGATAACTTTATGACTGTTATGAGTCCCGATAATTACACGAGCAAAAATTTACCATCTTTCTTAATCCACTGATCTTATTTTTACTTTCAGATTCACATCACTTGCCCACAAAACCACCCTTGGATTTAATACTAGGACAGGCTCAAGAATGTTTAAAACTAATGTCAAAGATTGGACTAGGAGCTTGTGCATTTGCCAGTGTTGAAGAGTACATGTAACATGCAAATGTTTTGTTTATCTGCAGATGAAAAACAATAATTTTACAAAAGCTTAAATAATTCAGCATGCACTGCATACACAAGTTTTCTAAAAAATGGTGGTTAGTAAATCACTTAAAAGCAGCATTTTCCCTGAATCTCAGATGCTTAGATAACAACTAAAATATTACTCTGCATGGTATCTAGTAAAGATATGTGTATTGTGTAAAATAGATGGTACAATTTTATCAGAAAGAATCATAGCAGGCAACCAAGATAGTTTTAATTTCCAAGATTGTTGACAGGAATTCTTAGAATTGCTTTGAGATTGTCAAGTGCACCACCAGTTCAACCAATCAGAGTCAAAGTTAGAGCAAAATGTGACTTAAGTCTTCTCCTTTTGACATTTTCCTCTGCCTTCCCTCACAGAAAATGGTATATTAAACTGCTAGTAAGACTGTTATTGTATTATACATCCACTTCCTTATTTTTTGGGTTATTTTAGGGGTAAAAGAACCTCAAACAATTTGTTTGAATTTGTAATTTGCCATAGGGACTATTTTATTTTTTGAAATATTGTAAATTCTGTAAGAGCCGGAGAGCTACACCATCTTGTATAGTGGTCTTTTTTTTTCTGTTTAGTTTTGCATGGCACATCTTGCAAATTTTAATTATTTTTGTAAAGCTTATCATGAAAATTCTTTGGGGTTAAAGTGTAGAACAGCAAGAGGGTATTACAAGCTTGATGCATAAAAAGCAAAAAGGTTCTACATAAAGAAAACCTCTAAAATCTGCTTGCTGAGTTTTCAAATTCCTTCCAAATAATTGAACTAGCATTCAACTTTCTGTTAGTTTGCATTACACAAGTGTAAAGTTACATCTCATTCACTAGTTCTGTATTCACAAGAAAAACTGATTTTGTCATTCTTTCGGAGTAAAGGCTCTCTTCTCTTACTGTGGTACAGACACTCAAAATGCTTGCCTAACTTAAGCAGCTAGACTTGGTTCTTTTACTGGCTGTAAAACCTGTAGTGCAGACAGATTAGTCACTCAAACCTTCAATGCTTCTCTTATGCAGGCTAAATCCAGATTATACTTGTACATTGCAAATAAACCAGATATAAATTATTCTCAATTATTAAATATTTCCTTTTTGCCTTCCTGTTGGTGTTTTTTCACAGGCAAGTTTATACCTATGATCAAAAAATTAATTTCAAGCTCTATACTGTATATCACATTAGGTTAGTGTAGGGGTTAGGTTCTGTTTATATAATTATGTAAATAAACCATTTAGATTTTACTTTTTTGTCTTGTATTGTTCTTGTTTCACGTGCCCAAGGTTGCCTCCTTGCACTAACCTATTTAATGAGGTTAGTGTTCATCTGGTCAAAATGATTGATTACACTTTTTCAGAGGTTGAAATGTTCAGTTTTCTTTCAGTTCATATAGTATAATGAAAGCAGGATCACAACTCTCATTATAACATAACCAAATTAATTCTATGGGCTGTCAATAAATGATCTCCCAGGGACATATTCTAGGTAGTTAAGTCCCAAGTTGTAGTTTCCCTTTGTAGCAGTTTTCCATCAAATGTGATGAGCTCTTGCTTATACAATTTGTTTTCATCCCTGTTAAAAAGTCAAATCCAGAAACACAAAGCCTTTATTTTCAATTTGAAATTATGCTGTACATGTATTTACAATATTTGACAAGCTAGAAGATAAAGTTTTCTGCAAGGTCATAACCAAACCAAGAGTACAGAAATCTAAAAACTTTACTTGCACAACAAATTTTAAGACCGCAAGCCAGTACATTAAAAGCAAAGAGAAACAGAATTTTATGCGTCTGAAGTTTTCCCGAAATAATTATATTCCACTTAAACATAGCAACATGCTTTTCAAACATAAATTATTTCACTTCAAATTAATCACTTCTTCGCCTAACTAACAATTAATTGCCACGAGGTTACTCAGTGATGGGGTACTTGCTCTCGAATTCCCTCATTTTATCTTTGAAAACTAAAAGTGAGAAAAGAAAAAAGAAAATGTTGGAAACAAGATAGCTCAACCACAGGCAATAGGCCGTAGGCCATGGAGTTTTATGAACTCTTTAATTATACATTCTTAGTAACTTCTGTTAACTGACTTATAATAATTGAAAAGGGCCCCTGATTTAAATCCTCCGATCAACTAAAACTTAATCAGCCCCTCCAGAGATTTGGGGAGCTGCAGTAAGACCTCCTGCCACAATCTTTGATTCCAGGTGATGCTCCCACAAAGCTGATCACCTGTAAAGCTGTTAGAGATGGAAACTGCCAATGATTTAACTTTTATCTCTTGTGGGTACCATGGAATTCTCCATTGTTCTGCTTATTGTGGACTCCCACAGACATAACTTGAGCTTCCAATTTCTAACTTTTGGAGCTCAAAGGGCTCCCTGAAAATTTTCTTGGGCAGCAGCTTTGGACCTATTGCCAAATGAAGGTGAAGTCCTAGAGGCAATGTACTGTTTCTACGATTCAAGCCTGGAATTCAAACTTCCTAGTAATAACCAAGAGAATGTAAAGCTACCTCTACAGTCTGGACCTGCATGTAATTGATTTTAAAATACAAAATATCCTGGCCGACACTAACTTTTCAACTTACTAGCCAAGTGGCTAGTGACAACTTAGATGTTACAACAATTTCAGTTTGTTTACTAGCCAAACTGGCTAGTGGATATTGAAAACCACTAGCCAAAACTGAATTTCTTCTAGTTTGTGGCTAGTTGGCTACTGTTAGTGTCAAGCCCTAAAATTTACATAACATTACCAGCTTTATTATTCCATTTTTGGGCTGCATCAACATTAAGTGGGTTGTCATTGTTTGGTGCTGAAAAGAAACAAATCATTTTTTATGAGGTTACTGTTTACATTTCGAGGTAGTAACTTGAGCATTGATCCATCAATTTCCATGGTATTTTAATAATTGAAAACCTTTAAAGATGGTGAATAGTTTTCTCTCTAAAGGAACAGGCCTGCTTATCAATTGAGACCTTGCTTAATTTTTTTTTTTTTTTGTCCCTAGCTTTGTTAAGTAGTCTCAATTTTTCTTTTCCAGTGACACAGCCACTCACAATTTTAGAAATAATAGTTCAACCTTTTTTGAAATGAATTATTTGTTACCTCCTAATAATGCTTGAATGGAATGCAATATGCTTCTAACGCCATATGCAGATGTCCATTTATCCTGCAAAATATGGATCAAGCAACGTTTAATTGTGACTCTGATCTGCATTCCGTTTCCCAATACGCGATTACCCATGACCACACATTTTCCAGAACCTATTTTAGATCTTTTTACCCAATCCAGTGAAACAATATATAGCCTACTGTACCTTTAGAATGTCTAGGCAGATGTTTCCTTTGTCGTCCACATTAGGGTGATAACATGGCGTCTTGAATTTGACTACAGGAGGTTTGTGAGGATATGTGCTTGGAAATTCAAAGGTTAGTTTGTACTTTTTCCCATCGTAGACCTAAATTGAGAAGGAGTGGACAAATTTCAACCGTCAACTGTCCAAGAAAACATTCAAAACATTCTCATCTAAGAGAAAGAAAAATCCAGTAATCAAGGAAACAATGTTATTTTCAAAGGTATCTAGTTATGAAGGTTAAATTTGTGCTTCTGCTCTCTTGCCCACATTAAAGTCCGGCAACTTATAACTAACGTTTCTTGATCTTTACAGTGCCATTCGACGTTTATTCAAATTTCGTTTTTAGTTTACTTCTTCTAACGAGAACTACACAGAAACTCTTGTCAGAATAAAACTAAAAGCTGAGTTTGGTGTATAGATAAGATATTTTTTTACCGTATCTTTTCCTCCTTGAATTGTTGCAATCCACTCCAAAATGCTATCTCCAGAAGGAAATGCCGAGATAAGACTGTCTGGATGCTACAAAACAGAAATATTCAAAAGAGGAATTACTGAAGCCACCGAGAATATGTCAAGATAATGACCAACCAAGGAAAAACAAATTCCGAGTACATTAATTTCCGAGCGGAGCCTTACATCAGCAAGTTCTTTGAGATCCAGTAATAGCCTGTTGATCAAATTTAACGACCAATTAGTGAAAAAACGACCAGTGGAATGACATGTAAATCTAAACATTCCTCGAATGAGTTCCGAACAATCCTTACCTGCTCCAAACTTGTCCCTCGCAAGCCATTACTTTGTGAAAAACAGAATGACTTTAACTTGATGAAACCTTCGATATGTTACGTCTTCGAGATAAAACGGCCTATCGTGGGTAAAGATTTTTAAACTTGCAGTTCCCTTGGGATGGACCAATCAGATGGTCTATATCAACATAATTTACCAATCACAGCGCTAAACTTTGCTTCGGTTCCAGTTTCCGCACTTACGATCCCATAGATCTCTTCGGTCTGAAAATCGCCATGTTGGATTTCCTGTCCATTGCTCAAATCTAAGCTCGTGCAAACAGATAGTTTCACGTTGATATGCCTTACGCAAACCAACCTAGTGTTAAAATTCTGGAGCTCACAGAAGAAAATGTCAAATTTGTGATCGAAAATACAGACTTGAGGTATGAGTTCGAACGTTTTGATCGATTTCCCTATCATCGTACGCGTTCTGTACCCATGTAAAAGACGTTCCAAAAGTCAACTTCAGCGTTTCACTCAGCTCCCTAGCTATAGATCTTTGAGCTCATTCTCCTCACTGATCACCACGCATCCTTTTTTCTGACTGTTCTGAGAATGAAATTCTCATCAAGAGTCTCCTTTGATACTTGATTAAAATCTAAGGAGACTGGAAACCAATAATTCATACACAATGTAACTGCTAGAGGTCACTGGGGCAACTGAGAGTGCATCCCAATTTTTCTGTTTATTTTTCAATTTTTTTCCATGCCTCCTTTTTCAGCATGGCTAATGGCCTCCGAAGGATATTCATTGCTGAAACTCCAACAATAGGTATGCTCTTTTTGTTGCTAGAGGTTAGTTACATTTGTATCTCTGTTTTGTTCCCTGACTCTATAGTCTCCACTAGCTGATTAATCTCACTTCAGAATGCTGTGAAACTTGACTTTTTTGGGCATTTTACTCTCCTTGCCATGAAACATACGAAAGACATTTTAACACTTACCATTGACCACTTTCATAAATGGCTGCCGGATTAATATTCTTTTGTTTAAATTTAAATTAGCCTTTCTGGCCTCGCTTGAGATAATGTATTCTTTTGAATTTTGTACTGGAGAACAAGACCAGAAGGGCTAATTTAAAGTTAAACAAAAGGATATTAATCCAGCAGCCATATATGAAAGTGGCCTATATACCCTTGAGAGGTTGAAAGAGACGAGATACATGTATGTAATCAGCACACTGTACATGTACGTCAAGCCTTTTATTTACTCATTTTTCCAATAGTTTTTAGTACAATTGCATTTTAAGTTGTCCTTTTTTGCTGGCATTGAAAATGACTTCTGGCAACTGGGCTAGCTTCACTGTGCATTAATTTAAGGCAGTTGCCTAGGAATTTAAGCTCAGTGCTTGTTGTACATCAAACATGGAAAGTGTTATTGATAAGCAAACTTTTTCATGCACTAGGGTAAAATCCGACACATGTCCCTACTGTGTGGATATGCTATGTTTCATATAGATGCAAATTTATTTGAAGTTGACATTCCAATCATCTCTTTTCAGCCATAGACTGGATACAAATTGAAAACAACACTTCTGTACTCCATGATGAGTTTATTGCCCACAGATTAGGTAGGTATATAATTGTGCAGGCAGTCAATTTTGTGTCTTTATCCGAAATATACAGGTGCATTTTTGATGATTAAGTATTGAACATCAGGATTGATTATCTAAATGTACTAATGATTTTAAAAGGTGCAAATACAAAATAAGTTTTCTCGATAAGGTACTCCTTTGTAGGGAGGCAAACAGAAAGAGACAAGAAACTTCAACCTGTCTCAATAAGCCCATCTCTCTTCATATACAGCTGCTCAAAATGTGGTCTTTGTGACCTTATGACAGGGATGACTTAGGGACAAGATAATCTATCCCATCCAGTTTTGATTATCAGTAAATGTCCCTTGCAGTGAACCATTCAAGGGACGGGCTGTATGTAGATTACTCTGAGGGTCTTCTGCAATCCCCATTAATGTGTACACAGTTTATATTTAACAATTCTTCGCCTCAGGTTCGGTGAATATTGTCGAATAATCCCCTCGGCTACGTCTCAGGGATTATTCGACGATATTCACCGAACCTGAGGTGAATAATTGTTTTAGTATAATTTCAGAGCTGAACAACAGAGAAATTTCTAAAATCATAACATTTTAGTAACATTCATTAACATTCTATTTTAACATTTTATATAAACTGCGTGGAACAGTTTATATAGCGTTATATAAGGAACTGCTCAACCAATCAGATCGCTGGAAACTCTTTGCTCAGCCGTGTGAAATTATAAAAAATAGATATATATACAAATGTGAAAGAAGGAAATTATTACTAGTTATTCGAGTTTCACGCTCTAGGCGATCGCCTAGAGTGTGAAACTCGAGTAACTAGTAATAATTTCCTTTCACATTTGTATTTTGCTCTACACATTTCTGCATCGAGCACTCCAAGGATAAGTGAAACAACTTTATTTCTTGTTTATTCGTTTATATATATATATATAAAATTATATTTATTTAAAACTGGAACATTGGATAATGCAATTCAAGACTTTTTATTGGCTTAGCCATTATGGTATATGAGCCAATATACCAAAATCTAATATCTGTACATTGTAACATCCGTTTTCTTCTTACAAAATAAGTCAAGAAGATGTGTCTAATATCTTGGGGGCATTTTTTTTTTAATAAAACAATTATTCCACTCGCGCTTGTTGGATATGGGATGACTATAGCCAACTCGGTGCTATGCGCCTCATTGGCTATCTATCATCTCATATCCAACTCGCGCTCGTGGAATAATTGTTAAATATGTATGAAATGATTTTTCAAACAAAGTATATTTTTCTTAATATAAGGTCTTATCCCCTTGACCAGTGATGAAGTTGTTGATAGATTGAGCTACTCTAGGGTAAGTGAATCTTAAACATGGGTTGCTAGAAACATAAGATAGTTAATGTGAAAAGAAAGCTCAACAAAAAGTAAGGCATGGAAGGGATTCACATACTGGTGCACTGCTCCAATTAACAGCAATCTCAATTGAGCTGGGAGCTCAGCTAGATTTTGGTTGTGTCATGGCAAGGGTTATTTTATGATTTATAACTTTTCTTTGAACACTTTTGCCTTACCCTGTAATTGTTGGTTTTTACAAAAAAATGTAACTATATAACTGTCAAACTACATTTATTTGACTGTATTGTTTTTTCTTTTTTCTTTCATTAAAGGATTGCACATGTGACAAGTTCTGTCAAGATTGTTCTGTTGAATTGACCCTGGAAGTAAAATGTACAGATGATCAAACCAGACATGTGACTACCAGAGACCTCATTTCATCAGATGCAAAAGTTATTCCTGTGAGTTGTATAGTTTTGTAATCCAGTTGGTTGATTTCCTCATTGTAAGTACCTTATGCACTTTAAATATGACAAAGTTACAGTAAGTTAACCATTTCTCATTTAAGACATTAAGATTCTGTATTGTTCCTCACATTTATTCTACTTGAATGTGTAGGTTACTTCACGGCACCATGATGATGAAAATAGTGAATACGGTGAACAAGATGGTGAGCGATGGGTACAGTGTTTGATCAAATCTGTGAAAAAAAAAATTCACATTACCCACACTTTGATTTTACTTGATATCCCTAGTTACAATTCTGACTGGTGGGAAGGTATCCATATATTATATACAGTATCTATGGGAAAAATACTCTATTGGTAATAACAGCAGAATCTTATACCATCTCATAGTTCCAAGTTAACTGATCAACTAAATTGACTTGTGCTTTATCCTTAATTTTTTAAGATGTTATCACTTTGCCCATAGAAGCCTTCTCTGATACACTCAAACAAACTAAGAATATTTGCTACTTGGCCAATTTTTCATATTACATGATCCTCCCACACTCCCCGGCCTTTAAAAGGAGATTATACTCTGATGTTGACAACATTTGACACATACATGTAATTTAGCCATCTGTTGAATTACTAATTCTTATGATTCCTGTCTTATTTCAGACATTTTGATTGTGAAGCTTCGTAAAGGACAGGTACATGAAATACATCATTCTCTTATGCTCACTTGGACATCTTCATCTGTTTTTCATTAGAAATGTGCCACTAACTGTACTGTATTTTCAAAACCATTTCAAAAGCAGCTACCCTTCAATTATGTACTTAATTTAGTTGACAGATTTTGACACCATTTTTGTACCTCTACCTTTGAATTAATTACTTGAATTTTTTTTTCTCTTTTTTTTTACAGGAACTGAAACTGCAAGCTTTTGCTAAAAAGGTAAATAAAATTCTATTTGCTTTTATGTTTGTTTTGTTACTTATCTAAATTATGTACCTATATTTGAAGCTGCCGTGATGTTGTTTCATTAGGGATTTGCAAAGGAACATGCTAAATGGAATCCCACAGCAGGCGTGGCATTTGAGTATGACCCTGACAATGCTCTTAGACACACAACATATCCAAGACCAGAGGAATGGTAATAACTTAAATTGCATTTATGTTACTTCTCCTTATTTTTTTCTTTTGGGGAACATTTTGAATAACTACTCTGATCAAAATTTTGTGCAAAAGAAAATCTGCTTTGACAAATTAATGCATCAGTTTTTACTTTTCTTTGATTTTCCACGGCTATAAATTATGCTGCATCATTCATTTCATTATAATTTATCATATAGTTTTTTTTTGCATTTTGTCATAGGCCAAAGAGTGAATACACAGAGCTGGATGAAGATAGCCGTAAGTAAATGGTTCACCTTCATTAACAATTTATTGTGTGACTAGAAAATTTTAACTGTCAAAATCATTTGTCTAAATCATTGAAAAGTTCAATTTCCAGGGTAAATCTCAATATGAAAGTTTTACTCAAATCAACTTAGAACTACACTGATTCTGCAAGTGAAAGGATATTTTTAAGTCAAATTGTTCGATACTGTCAAACATTCCTTGTTTATTTTTTTCAGATCAAGCACCATTTGATCCAAATGCTAAAGCAGACAAGTTTTATATTAATGTTGAGGTAAGATGTCTTAATGATTTGTTGGGATTTTTTCATGGTTTCTTGTCATTTCCAAGTCTGAAGCACTTAAAAAACTAGAGTTCAAATTTAGAGAAAGTGCGTTGACCCTACAGTATTTGAGTCGTTAGAGACATGGTGACGTAAGGAATAGTGTTTTTGACTCCCATTTCTTTTTTGTTGCAAGTTTTTGATTGACAATGCATGATAATGTGCATACAATACACAAAACTAACATCGTTGAAAATACTGCCATTACGGACATGTGCAATATCATATTTATAGCATTGAATATAATTATTACTTAAAATGCTAACATTACCTTTAATGCTACTCTCATTTACAATACTAACTTTTCTTTAATATATCTCTTTCTTTTATATTAGTGGTTATAGATGTACTGATTCTAACTTTTTAGTATAATTTGACCATTCTGTATCTTGTTGTAGTCCTGTGGTTCATTAAGACCCGAGACTATTGTGTTAAGTGGGCTGTCTGTGCTCAAGAAGAAACTGAGTGATCTTCAGACTCAACACAGCCATGAAGTAGCTGCTGATGTCTTGACCATATAAGGACCGACACTAAGTAAAATGTTTTTGTAGCAATAAACGGTGTAATAGTAAACTCATTTTGTAATTAAACACGAAGGCGCGCTATATAAGGAAGTCTTCCCTGGGAAGACCTAGGCTCATTTGTCACTCACCGTTGACGTGTGCGGGTCAAATTTAAATGCTGGTAGACGAACAAAAGGAGCTAATGAGATATCTATTGTTTACTTCCACCAGCATGGTGGCATGAGGTAACGTGGAACCACCTACTTCCATCTCAAATTTACCGCCACAAATAAAGACAGTTTCCATTGGAGAAAGGAAATACAAATCTCAAAAATTCTTGTATTGTGATGAAAACATAAAACAATTTTGAGGAATGTGCCCACTGTTCACTGCTCTGGAGTAGCTGAAGCTCAAGCTGACTTGACTCTAAGAGTTCTACATCTCACGACGGTTGATTGACAAATGTTCCAGAGGGACCTAAGGCTCCTTTTATAGCGCGCCTTCGTGTTTAAACGCTGTGGTATTCATATGAAGTCATATAGTCTGATCAACAAAAAGAGGCTAGATTTAGTTGAATGGTAATTTTTGTGTTCTTGCCGCATTTAAAGATCACGAATATTTCTCGGACCCACGCCTTCCAGTTCATTTGTAAAGTAAGCGTTTGCTTCACCCTTACGCTTGTAGGACCACAAGGAGGAAAAACATTTGGTGCGCTAGAAAAACATTGTAGTCGTTCTTCATGTGCCGCTTCAAAATTTCACATGTAAACCAAGTCTAAAGCACGTTAGTAACTCCTGCGACATCGTGGCCACAAATTGCTCTAAGATCGCGCCGAAATACGAAAAAGAAATTTTGTTCCGGTGCCAATTGCTGGTAGCCACTTTCTTAAGAGCATCATGGCATCGCTTGCTATTTGCTTTACAATGCTTAGTGCCTGCAATGTCTTGAAGTACATGGAAAGTTTCACGGCCGGACCTACTCAGAGACGCCTTCATTTAGGATAAAAGACTCAGGAGGTAATTGTAATATAATTAATTAATAATTGCTGGTAATAATTATTAATAATAATTATTAGTAATAATTATTAATTAATAATTTTTAATAATTAATTAATAATTGCTGGTAGCCACTTTCTTAAGAGCATCATGGCATCGCTTGCTATTTGCTATACAATGCTTAGTGCCCGCAATGTCTTGAAGTACATGGAAAGTTTCACGGCCGGACCTACTCAGAGACGCCTTCCTTTAGGATAAAAGACTCAGGATAGTGCTGGCGTTATAAGTCTCCTGTATGCATACACAGACTTGGGCACTTTAATCTGGTCGCCTGGGCACATAGGTACGTCATCAAAAATTATGGGATCATACCATCGTCGAGTTCGTATCTGCTTTGGCTGTGATGCAAGTAACCGAGTCATTTCAACTAAGTGCTATCAAACAGCTAACTGCTACAATGTAACGTGGTGCGTTCGCTAGACTTTTGTCGACTAGTCGCCGCCCAACATGTGCGAGCTAACTATTTTTCCAAAGCTACTCAAGAATCCCTGTGATTTTTAGGTGAATAGGACATAAGGCAACACGTCTTTTCCTTGCTTTCTCTTTTTCTGAAAATGGTCTTCATCGTTGTCTTTTTGAACTGCAAGAAAAGAATCGTTTACATGGCAAATAATGCAGATGCAATATTGGATCAATAAACGAGACTAATACTGAAAAAGAATGAGTGGTAATTAAGGTATTCGGCTTTTTTTTTGTTTTTTTTTTGTTGTTTTTTTTTTGTCTTACTATTTCGAAAACTTCATCAATTCCATTTATTTGTTGTTTTTTTCTCGATAAAATTACCATTTTATTGCTCTTTCCGTTTTCCAATCTCTTTCACTCAAAAACCGACTGACAGACAGAGGCAATTTGGAGAGTGTTTTGCCGGAATTTATCCCAGTTTCTGAGATCTAAAGTGAGTCGATCAGCCACCAGCAATTCCCCATAATTTTGCAATAAACCTCATTAGAAATTTGACATATTCGCACTTCCAGATGCAGAGTGTTGATAGCGTGACGCGTGACGCTATCGATGAAGTGAATGCTTTATTCCGAAATTTCAGAGTCTAAGTAACAAACCACAACAAGAGATGTATGTGGGGGTGAAAGGGTGAGACCGACCGGTCTTCTACCCGGGCTAATAGAGGATTCATTTTAATATTTTATGGAACCAACCTTTGTGAAACACACTTCGTACTTTTCATCCTCACTCGTTGTTGCTGTTACTGGACTGCTGGTCTGTTCTCCAGGCTTAACCTGCTTGGGTTTGGCGCCTGGGTCTGTGCATTGTCGTTTTAAGTCCTATGTAGCAAAGTAAACAAGTATTTCGTTAGCAATGAATAAGGTCATGTCCTCAGGGCCGCCAAACGTTAAAAAAACCTGCTTGCTAACAGAGGTGAATCCTTGAATTTTTGATAAGCGTATCCGAACTTTGATTCAGAAAACAGAGTTTTTTTTTTTCTTTTAAAACCTAAAGAGTGTGAAATTTTTTTAAGATAAGAAAATTTGAATAGGTCAAGTTGAGTAGCAATATGCAATCTTGTCGTTGGAAGAAGTTTGGTTTCAGACAAGTGATACTAATACCCAGAGGTCTCTAGGATTGGGTTGGGAAGGGGTCTTGTCTGATCTATTGGATGATTTTTTTCTATGCGACGAGGAACGAACGGAAGTTTTCTCTGATTATACAAAGAGAAGATGGAAATGAGCGGGAAATTAAGAGAGCTTTATTTAAACTTTCCCTTTTTTAAATAGCTTGATATGTACCTTTTCACGATGATAAGTCTTCCCAGTCGCCACACATGGTTCAGAGTGGATAGAACGAGGAGCACCTTCAGGCTGCAGTTCATAACGACACGAAAATTAATTTTTTAATTACATTTTATTTCTTGTTTTTATTGTTCTTTTCGTTTGAGTTTTGGATTTGTTAGTTTGTTTCCGATGTCAAACTATTTTTGCTAAAGGCTCTCCACAACCTACTCTTTGGTCCGTTCAAAAACAGAAAATGAAGCTTTTGAATTATTAATATTAAATACCGATCGATTCTGTTATTTATACCAAACAAATTAAACATCCTTTCGTCAAGAAACAAAACAGTACAAATCTAAAGATCTTAGGTTCGAATC